CACAGGGTCTGTAGACACAGGAGCCAGATCCATGACGGAGCCAGAGGGTTGGAAGTCCCCAACATCCCCGATTTTTGTCCCCAAGTGCTTGGTTTCAGTGCGGGGGTTTGCTGCCATCTCCTGGGTACCAGCAGCACCACTGAGCCAGGTCCAAACTGGCCGTGCTGGAGCTGGGGCTCTGCAGGGACCAAACCCAGGGCCCCCTTCCACCCCCAAAGAGCTGACCCCACATCCCCACAGCAGCCAGGCCATTTTAAGCCCAGCTCTGGCTGTGAAGCCGGACAGGTCCCAGGCATGGCCATGGCAGCATACCACCTCATTTTATTTCTCTTCCTCGAATCTCTCTCCTCCCTCACCGCCCCCCCCCTCCCCCCCGCAGATGCTACAACTGCGGCGGGCTGGACCACCATGCCAAAGAGTGCAAGCTCCCGCCACAGCCCAAGAAATGCCACTTCTGCCAGAGCATCAGCCACATGGTCGCCAACTGCCCCGCGAAAGCACAGCAGTCCCCCAGCTCCCAGGGAAAACCTGCCTACTTCCGAGAGGAGGAGGACATGCACAGCTCGGCCCTCCTCCCCGAAACGCGGGAATGATGGCGGGTGGCGGGGAGGGGGGGCTTCCACCGGGATGAAAAGGCTTTGGCAAGGCAACGGGCAGCCGTGGGGGGTTGGAGGAAGGAGGGCAGGGTGAAGGACTGGGGAGGGAAGACGGCAGTACTCACAGTGGGGACCCGGTGTCCCTGCACAGACTTTTTTCCCTCTGTTCCCAGCCCAGGGAAAGCCCTGCTTTAATTGGGATGGCTTGTTCCAAAAATAGGGGAAGGCAGCACCCAGCACGCCTCTTCCAGCTAAAAAAAAAAAACAAACTATTTGAGTCATCTTTATACTTTTCCTAAACGAAGCCAAGCAGTAGTGTCTCTGGGAGGAGGAGCAGAGAAGCAACATCTCAGGGAGGAGCTCATGGCTCCTTGCTCTTCTGAGCTTCAAACAGGCTCAGGCACGGTTTGGATGATCTGCGGGGAACCCACTCCTACACCTGTCCTGTCCCAATCTGCCCCGAAGAGAGAGGCCGAGGAGGGAAGGCTGGCTGCAGAATGCCAGGGAAATGCCCGTGGGCCGGCCCCGTGGGTCCCTCTGCTCCTCATGGCTTCTCACTTGCAGGTTGGTGCCAGGATTTGCAGTTTTTCTGTGGTCACCCCATTTCTGAAACTGGCAGAGCCCAGATTTGGGCTCAGTCTGGAAAGAAACGAGGCATCTCTTGGGGCTGGGCTAACACTTGCTGCCTGCTCATGGGCTTGGGGGAGATCAGGGCAAAAGAAAAACACTTTTTTTTTCCCCCTAAGCCTTACCAAGTGCCAGCCTGGAGAGCTCAAGGTGTTTTATGCAGCCAGCTCTTCCCCTCTAAGGCTTCTCCCTGTGTCTGAAATGCGGAGCTGAGGAGCGGGAGGGCTTCATGGAACAAAAATGCTCTTCGTTAAGCCTTGGGCACCAGACCCGGGGCAGGGCTGGCTCCCGGGGATGTTGCTGGCAGCGTTTCTCTTTGAGGCCGTGTCCACAACCCACCCGGGGCTCACGCAGATCCAGCCATGGCTCGATCCAGACACCAAAATGCCTGGGGCTTCCCACGAGCTCTGGATCAAACCCACACAGGACAAAAACATGCCTCTGCTCCTCCTGCCCATCCCACGCTCCAGAAACCGATGGCTCCTGGGCTGAGACTCCCCAGGGACAGAGGAAAAGGGTGCCCCAGGTCGTTAGCGGCTGCTGTCCTCCCTCCCCACCGGCCCCCCCAAGTCTTGCCTTTATTTATTGGCCCCGGTGGACAGCCCTCCTCCCGGGGCAGCCCCCCCGGCCGTGCCGAAGCCAACGCCAAGTGAAACCTGCACTAGGACGTGCGTGAATGACGTATCTTTGGGTTTGTTTGTTGTCTTTGTTTCGTTTTTTTTTTTTTTTTTTTTTTTGGTTTGTTGTTTTTTTTGTTTTTTTTTTTTTCCTTAATATAAATATTCTGGTTTTGTATTTTTGTATATTTTAATCTTTAAGAAAAGAAAAAAAAAAGAGAGAGAAAGGACATAATTCCTGCAACTTATTCTCAGGTATTCGAGCAATCTCAGGGATAAAATGCCTCTGTAGCCCAGTGCTGGACAGAGAGAAGGGTTTTTTCTAACAGCACAAAGACGTGATGAAGTTTGTATTGGAAGTGTAGATCTACCTCACTGCATGTTTGCTAGGTGGACTGACGTGTTGTCGAGCTTTTCAGTTGTGTTTTTTGGTATGTTTGGGATTTGTTTTCTTTTTAACTGTATTTTAATAGAGTCTCTTTCCCTTCCCCGTGGACTGAGGAGGAATTTGGGTCGGTAGAATCGTGTGTGGGGATGGAGAAGCCAGGCAGTGCCATGGGGCAGGGAACAGCTGCTAGAGCCCGTGTCGGCTCCCCAACTCCAGATTTTCTCCCAGCCTGGTGGCTTTTGAGGACTGTCCTCCATTTCTCTCTCCTGTTTATGCTTACACGTCCCCTCCCCACCATCCTGATGGGAACGCTCCAGTCCGCCCCGTGACCGAGTCCTCCTGTTGTCCGTGGACTGGGATGTCACCCAGGCTCCCAGCAGGCTGGTGCCGTGTGGCTGGGGGTCAGAAAGCCAGGATGGGGGTCTCAGCCCACTCAGGGGGACGTGGCAAGAGCTGACAGCAGCCCAGGAAATTGAGGGTTGTCCTCAATCCCCTGCCCTCGAGCAAAGAGCCGGCTGGCTGCCCGTGACCTCCTGGGATGAAGGACCTGGTGCCAAGGCAGACCCAAGTCCGAGGGAGGTGAAGTTGCTCCATCTCTCTCCTCCCTTCCCAGCTTCCCCCAAATGCTGGCTCACGGTGGTCGGAGGGAAACTCTGGTTCCCTGGTTTTGGGGCATTAACACTCTGCTTTGCAGCCCGGGGGCTGTCTGGAGCCTTCCCAGGGAGGGCATCTCGCCGTGCTGGCGTGTCAGGACGTGGGCACAGTTTCTGCTGTTTTTTAGGTAGCGATAGGTTTAGATGTTGAGCAGGGCTGGAACAGACGGGGAGCACCTACTCCATCCCCAGCTGCTCGCCTGCCCTGCTCCAGTAGTTTTTATGGTGAGGTGGTGGTCTCTTCTTGGGAGGGTGGGGGGAAGGACTTTTTAGTTCTTGACTAGCCATGGGATCTATACAAAACTACTTCAGGAAAACGGCTTTTGTCTGAACGGGGTAAATGCAATAGAGCGCACTGGGCTGCGTGTCTAAGCCTGGGCCTCGGTCCCGCTGCCGCGTTGTGGGGGGGCTGTTGGCCTTCCCCTGGCACCTCAGTTGTGCCGGGGAAACTGCTGCCCCCCCTAATTCTTGTATCTGTCTTGAAGAATCATGTAGGACCTTTCCCCCCTCGCCCCCAGTTTAATGTTTTGGTGATTTTTCTGCTAGATGTCTACTACGTGTAAATACCTCTGTAAATCTTTCCATTTTTTCTCAGTATTCTCTTTGATTATTGTTTACAAAAGTAAGAGGAAAAAAAGAAAAAAAAAAAAAAGGAAAAAAAAAATAACCAAAGCATCTAATAGGTTATGGACCAGGGAGACAGGATCTTCTCTGTACACTCTGCCTTGTAACTCTGTGGGGATATGAGCTCCGTAACCATCCCTGTCCTAGGCAATAGCAAATGGCTTAGAGAATCACTCAGGTTTCCCCTGGGGCCAATGTGGTACAGGGATCCAAGAAAACAGGGATTTTTATCTGTAAAGGGAAGCCACGTTGGAGAAGATGGGGTCGATTCACACCTTCCCGTTGCGTGGTTCTTCCCGTATCTTGACAATAATTAACTAAATTGCTGCATCCTCACCCACCCTGCCCATGCCCGGCTGCAGGCGCTGGGCACTATGCATTACGGGACAGTGAATCGCGGGCGGATGAGGCTGCACACTCAGGGTCCTGCTCTAACACGGGAGCGTTTGAATGTATGAGAAAAAGGTGTCCCTCACGAGAGGGGGTCTCCCCTGGTGCGAAAGCCTTGAGCCACAAGATGGTCTACAAGGAGACGGAAGAATGTAATCCATGTTTACTGCTAGCAACCAAAGCTTGTTTGTGTCAAACTCTTGAATTTTTATGAAGTGGGTGGGAGGGAGGGAATAATGGGGGTGGCTTGTGTTTGGCTCAGGGGTGACCCTGAGCTGCGCTTTCCAAAGAGATTTCCTGCTGGTGTCCCTGCAGCGAGATCCCCAGTTCCTGTTTGCTGCAGGTTTTTCCCCCTCCTTTCTTTTTTTTTTTTTTTTTTTTTTTTTTTTTTTTTTTTTTATTTTGTTTTTGTACCAACTATGTAAAATGTGGGGGTTTTTTTCTGGAAAAAAAAAATTAATAAAGACCATGGGCAATGGCTGCTGGTGATTCCTCTATGTGGTTACTCTTTGTTTTTCCTCCTCCCCTGGGGTTGAGAAGCCCAGACCCCAAATGGGTGCTGCCCGGGAATAAGGGGAGGGAGGGCCGGGAACTGGGGTACCCCACAGCTGCCACAGCCAACGCACCCCAAAGCTGCTTTGACTCGCAGCTGACAACCAGTCCGGCCCCGCTACCAGCCAGCGGCCGCCTCTCCCTGCACCCCAACTACCCCCACAGCCCCCCCTCCACACCACAGCCCCCCCTTCCCAGCCCCACTGTCAGCTCCCAGTCACCCCCCCTGCAGCGGGCCACCCCAACTCTGGCACGTCCCAGTTCGGCCCACAGCGCCCCCCCCCCCCCCCCCCCCGAACCATCCAGGCCCTACCAAGCTGACCCCGCGCTCTCAGCTTGCAGCCCCCCCACACCCACGGTGGCCCCGCCGTTTCCCTGCACCCCCCCCCCCCCCCCCAAAACACCCCCCGAATCCGCTGCCTCCCGCCCCGCAACCGCGCCGAGCCCCCGCGCATGCGCACAAGCCCCGCCTCATGCCCGGCCACGCCTCCTACAATAGACCACGCCCCTAAGCACCCCCCCCCCCCGCCTCTCTATTTCCAGACCACGCCTCCCGCGCGGCGCCGGTGCCTGCGCGCGCCTCCCGCCCCGGGCGCCGGCGGGTGACGCAAGCGGAAGGTCACGTCACCCTCCGGTGGAGGCTGAGGCGGCGCCGGGCGAGGTAACGGGCACTGGGGGGGGGGGGGGTCGTGTCTCCTTCCACTGGGTCTTTCCCCCCGCCGTCCCTCGGCGGCCCCTCCCCTCACGGAGCCGGGCGAGGCCCCTGAGGGGACGCCCCCGCCCCGTCCCCGCCATGAGCGGGGAGATTCGGTGTCCGCTTTCCCCGTTGCCCGCCTGGGGGGAGCCTGTCTGGAGCCAGCCTCACCCCGAGCGGGTGACCCGGGTGTCCTTCCCCCCGCTGCTCCGGCGCCTCCGCTCGCTGCGGGGGTGGGGGGGGGGGAGCGGCCGGGGGGGCGTTAAACCCTCCGGCTGCACCGCGCGGCCCGGCCCGAGCGAGGCATGGCCTTCCCCAGGCCCTGTCCCTGCCTCACAGCCGAGGGCCTGCTTTGTGAGGCTTGTTTTTTAAGATGGCTGTGTGAAATGGGGTGAAAAAGATGGATTGCTGTTAGCCAGAGATGGCACTGCTTTCAGCGCCGCTCCGGGGGAGCGGTAAGAGCTTTAGCGGCCGAGCCCGAGGTTCAGCAGTTCCGCGCTTTAATGTTTTGTGGCTGCAGCTGTGGCCAGACAGAGGGAAGTGGCGGCGAGGGCCCTTATGGAAAATTAATGCAGCCAGTGTAACGTGAATCTGCTGCGGTCCTTAGGCGGGCACCAGGGGGGTTGGATTTGGACTGTTGCCCCCACAGCGCTCTCTCCATAGCTGCTTTGCCCACATCTCTCGGGGTTCCTAGCTGAGAGAATGGAAGATTAATGTGGACGTTCAGCAAACTCTTGTATCTTGTTAGTTCCAGCCAGATCTTAGTATTTGATGTGCAGATAATGTGGGAAACACCCCAAAGTTTTTACAGCTCTAGAGCCTAAAGTTCTCTACTTGTGAAGGAAGAGAAATATCAGTGGTGGTACAAGTGCAGGGTAGTTGGCTGCTTCATTGGAAGGATTTCCAACAGCTCCAACACGCAAGCACTGAAGGTCAGTTTGTGCTGCTGCCACCCTGTGACTCACCGGGTTGTGGGTCTGGGTTAACTCACCAGCTAGTTCAGCTGGAAGATGCAGTCATGTTTTTTTCTTGCTAGTGCAATATCCCCTCTGGTGACATACAGCTGGAAAATTCCAGAGCTCATTTCTGAGCTCCCCTGTTGTCTGCTTATTGAAGTACTCTCACAGATGACAAAAAGGGCTCCAAAGCAGCTAGTCAAGGCTTATTTTTCCAAGGTGATGGTTTGTAGCCTTGCTTTCGGCTCAGACAGAATCTGTCCCTCTAACCCCTTTATTTCCATCTTCCTACTGAAAAAGAAGAGGAGCTCTCAGTAAAACATGTCGTGGATCAGAGAGGGCGAGCTGACCATCATAGAGAGATTTTGTGCCAACATCATTAAGGTAAGGAATGAATTTGGTTACCTGTGATAAAAAATCAGCAGGTTCATCAGGATTCAGAGTGGAACTGTCTCTGTGACTGATCTGCTCTAGAAAGATAGTATTGCTAGCAAGAGTATGTATTAATGCTGGCACTGGATGTACATCCTTAAACAGTATCTGGGGGTGGAAAATTCCTTAAGCTTAGTCTTGCAAATGAGCTAGTCTGTAGGCAGTGCTTGCCAATAATGAGCTTACACTCCCAGGCTTCCATTTTTCGTGCCCTTGGTGATGAAGACAGGTCATAGGAAGGAGGGAGAGAAGCAAGATGGTCAGATTAGGTATCTAAGAAATGAAACTGAGTTTCTCTTAGAATAATAACTCATCAGTTCTGGGAAATTTCTGGCCTTGTTCAGCAGAGTCTTGAGTCTGGTGATGCTGTCCTTGCAAAAGGATCTGTGTAGACCTAATGAGGTCACTGGAAAGGAATATAACTCTAAAATAGGCGAAAGTCTTATGCCTCTTTTTGTTTTCTCTTAAGATAATTGTGTCTGTGAAAACGCCCTTGAACTCTGAAATTGAAAATTACAATTACAGCAGCATAAAACTGCATGCACCCTCCCCCATGGCTGCAGAGAGGTAGCTGTGGCAGTGCTGCGGTCTCTCCCGAGTACTTAAGTTCTCTGTCATGCGATAAAAATGGGGAGGGTGAAGTTGTTTTTCAGTTCAGGCTATTGTCAATGTTGACATGCTTTTTAGAGAGCCTAAACTGGGGTGAACAAAGAGGTAATTAGCATCTTACTCTTTCCAGCTCCAGCTTGAAGTTGGGCAGTACACACTGCAGTCCTACAAATAGGCAGTGCTGCCAGCAGCCATGCAAGATGCTGGCTTGGCTGTTCGCTTTCTGGTCTGTTGTGTTTCTCCTTATTTTCTAGGCAGGTCCAATGCCCAAGCACGTTGCCTTCATCATGGATGGCAATCGCCGTTATGCCCAAAAGTGTCATGTGGAGAGACAGCAGGGGCATTCGCAAGGCTTTGATAAGCTGGCACAGGTGGGGAGGATGTTTGCTGCCTTTGTCGCATGTTGAAGGTTTAAGCCACGTTCACCAGATGACTTGTCTACCGCTTGACTGGTGTATTCTGTTCCTTTTCCTCACCGGAGTCGGGCCTGTGCTTGGAGCTGATGTTTGTCTTCAGGGTTCCCAACTTCAGCTCCTCTCTCTCTTTCTCCTGTTATCTTGCAGAGTCATTCTAATCAGGTATCTTTTTGCCCTGCAGTTTTACACTCGATTAAAGTATCAGCCTTGCAGATCTTGATGTTTTTAATTTTGTGAAACAGGTTGAATTTATTTGGAAAGTTTTTGAAAGGTTTAGTATTATATAATGTTCTCTACAAAAAGTGCTTTCCCTGGCTGGATTAGTCATGTGTTACAGATTCTCATCCTTAGGCAGTGATATTTTCCTCCTGTTCTTTAAAACAAATCTGAAATGCTCATCAACTGGGTTTCATTGTCAACTCTTGATGCTTGTTTCTTTTGGTCCAGTGTTAGCATAGTGGGAAATGTCAGGAAGGTTTTAGCAGTGGAGAAGCGTGGTCTTGCTGACCTGTCTGGTTGTCTGAGTTTGCTTATCTGACTTTTTGTTGTTTGTTATATTTTGTCTTCTTGTAGACGCTACGGTGGTGCTTAAATCTGGGCATTCAGGAGGTCACTGTTTATGCCTTTAGTATTGAGAACTTCAAACGCTCCAAGGAGGAGGTGGATGGACTAATGGATCTGGCAAGACAGAAATTTAGCCGTCTACTGGAAGAACAGTAAGAATCCTCTCATGTCTGTATCCCACAGGGTAGAACTGAGGCAGAACGTAGTGAAGAGGTGTTACAGAGATGTTGGAAGTTGTGAACATGGATTAAATGAAGGAAACTGTTTTCCATTTCCAGCTAGAGATTTGTGTTGAGGGGCTCTGCTTACCTGGATGGCATGTACAGCTCCCGAGCATGCACAGTCCCCCTGCACACCAGATTTGCGTCTGTGTCATATGGCTTACTGTGCAACAATCCCACCCAAACTGTTTAGGTAGTACAGCTTTCAGATGAGCACAACACAATTAGAAATTTCTGCTTAGCACTAGAGTGCTAGATGCCTTGCTTTCATGAAGTATCAAGCCTTGTCTTAAATACTGTCACAGTATTCTTGGCAGATCAGAGTTTAGTTCAGCAACTTGCTTTGCGCTAACTTGAGATTTCTACATATGGACACATGGTGTGTTGTCACTTGTTGGAGAACTAGTTCACATATTGCGTGTACGTGAAACCAGTACAGATCTGAGCGAGCTGGGAGGGGTGTGACAGTGCCCTGTTGTTCCGTAGCTTAGTGGATGTGTTTGTTTCCCCACACCTGACTGGTGTGAAGAGTGGTGCATGGAAGGGATCCTTAACCGGTTGAAGTAAATTTGAAAGGCAGTGAGAGAACTCAGCTGGAAGAACTGGAGGGAAAGGCCAGAGTGTGTGCGCTAGCAGAAATTGGGAAGATCTGGGCTATCTGAGCACTGCAGTATGCTGTGATGCAAAGAGCCTTTTCCCTGGTTTCTACCCAATGCAGCCCTTTATCAGGGAGTTTGTAGCGCCAGACAGGCAGCAGCAGGAACCTCTAAGATCCTGTGGGATGTTCTGTCTGCTCAGAATAGTGACATAGCAGGCATGGATGATTTCCTATCCCATCTGACGTTCACTCCACCACCCCCATCCCGCCCTCACTGCTACATTTATCTTTCCTTACACCAGAAAGTAGTTGTGCTGCTCTGTGGGTGACCATTAGTCATCCTAATTTTTGATTAGTTATAGGTGCCCAGAGTCTATGGTTGTATTCTAAATTTTCTGTGTAGATTTGCATAACTTCAGGTAGGAATGCCTAATCTGTGATCCTTTTCTAGTCCTTTGGTTATGTCTGTACCTCGGGAACTTGTATGGGGAATGATCAGTTTCCCTTTATGGAATGTTTGGGATGATGAAATCTAAGCCAGCTTTCAATACCTGAAAAATATTTGGTCATTTTGCCTTTTTCTAATTCTCAGTTTTGGTGAAGTCATGCCTGCTGCATGCCTGTTGTTTTCATCTGGTGGATGTTACGCAAGGCAAATGTGGCACTTGTACAGTAGACACTGATCTGTTTTCTGTAGTCCTCACTCTTTTGTTGGGTGCAGGGAGAGCCTGAAGAAGCATGGTGTGTGTATCCGTGTCCTTGGGGACCTGCCCCTTCTGCCCTTGGATATTCAGGAGCTGATTGCCCAAGCTGTGCTGGCAACTAGGAACTATAACAAGTAAGTAACACACAGTTTAAAGTAGCCGCTACCTCATGCCTTCCTCTTCTACCCAAAGGCTGAGACTCAGCAGACGTGCTACACCTTGTTTTTTCCTTCGTCCTACAAACACACCTAACTGTTGTAGACATTCTTCTCTCTGTCTTCTACTGGACCTTCCTTAGGTTAGTCTTTCACAATTTTCTCCTCTTTTCAGGTGCTTTCTAAATGTCTGCTTTGCATACACATCGAGACATGAAATCAGCAATGCTGTCAGGGAGATGGCATGGGGGGTGGAACAAGGACTGCTCGAACCCAGGTAACTGTTGCCTTTCTGTGTGAGGCTTCATAGATGAAGACTGCCTGTCTTACCTCCTACACTTTATTAATATCCTCTCAGAAGCCAAGTGGCTTTTAAATAGATCTCGTTAAACCAGTATGACTGGAACAAATGACTTAAAGTTACTATGCAATGTTCGGTTTTTATTATTTTAGTTACCATGGTGATAGATACACAACCAAGACAGCAGAGAAGTTAGGTCTGTGTCTTAAGTTAGTTTAAATGTGAAGGCAGATTTTATGCCACAACAATTGGCTGCTTGGCTGGCAGTCTTAGCTATGAGGTCAAGCAACAGATGAATCATGAATACTGAACTGTTCCTCCACCCTGGAGGAGATGGAGTAGTTAGCACTCTGCTCTCTGCTCCAGATGGAAGTCCTCACAGTCTGGTTCCACCACTGTATTATGTTTCAAAGAGCATGGTGGGATGATGCTCTGGGGGCTGAAAGAGCATTTGAAACACCCTGTCAAGCAGGCAGCAGTGTCCATCAGAAGCACGCTGAGGACTGGCTGTGGTACAGCTCCATCACCCAGTCTTAATCTGCAGTCCAGCGTTCATAAAAAAACCTCAGTAATTCTGATTTAGTAGTGCCACCGCAATCGGATCAGGAAAGTGATCTTAATAAGATGCATCTGTCTGTCTTAGTGATGTGTCTGAATCGTTGCTTGATAAGTGTCTGTACACCAACAACTCTCCTGACCCGGACCTCCTGATTCGAACCTCTGGAGAGGTTCGGTTGAGTGATTTCTTGCTCTGGCAGGTAAAGTCTTTGTTTTTTCCTTGAAATATTCCATTTTTGCATCAGAGTGTTCTACTGACTCCAGGCATGAGCTGACATGAGGGCTCTTAAACTCTCTCTGCTAAGGGTTGGGTAACTTCTTGGATGAACTGAGCACTGAGGCACCTCTCAGGAATTTGTTTCTTGCAGTTCTGTGATTGCCTAAAATACCTTGCAGCAGAAATCTGGAATTCTATCATCCTGAGAACACTTAGTAAAAAATCACAAATTAGGCTAGCTGACAGCAGTCAGGGAAATCATTAATTGCTCATCCTTTTGTTCCTCTTCTCACATTTAGGTAATTCCTCATTTGATTGGTAAATTCCTGGCTTTGATTAATTGAACTTGGCAGTATGTTTCCTGGGATGAAGAAATCCCAGGAAGGATTTCTAGATTCCTGGGAGAGGTGTTTGTCACATGTCAGCTGGAGGTTTAACCCTATAATGTACATGTAATGTACATGCCTGACTTGTCACAGTTTCAGAAATTTATTTGACTTTCATAACTAAACAAGACCTTGCAAGACAGGGTCTAAGGATGGCAAAGTCAAATCAGCATGGCTAGGCTGCTAAGCTAAAACATAATAAGTTCTTAAGGCATATAAATAAAAAGTTCATGTATTTGCAGTTACTTTATAGATGCAGTTATTTGCATGTATTTGCAAAGCTGCTTCCCTTTCTCTCGCTGCTGTGCTAAGCAATATTGACTTGTTTGTAACCCAAACTTTGCAGGAGAACATTTGAGTTGAGCTGCTTTACTTAAAGCCAACATTTTGTTTTACATGTACAGTTTGGAGGCAAAACCCAATTGCCTTTAAGCAACCACATCAAATGTTCCTATTCCAAGTTATTTAATGGCAAGTTCACAGAAGTCATCTGGCCTGAGTTGCGGTTGCCTACCAAGGCATCTTCCTCTCCTCCCTGTATTTTTGGGCACACGTATACCCTGGATGGGTGTCAATGCTGCAGACTAACATTTTGCCTGCTCCTCTTGGTGGTAGTCCTGGCAGAGATGCCCTGGAGACTGAGCTGGTAACTGGTGTAGCATTACTGAGGAAGTCAGTGCTCTGTGAGACTGGCTGGCGAGGTGCCCCTCTCCCGTGCCACGGATTACAGCAGAAGCAGCAGAGGAGAGCGTGTGCTTGTGCTCCCACGCTGCCAGCTCACACGCCAGGGCGTTAGTGCAAATTTCCCTTTGCTTCTAGCCATCGTGTGTCCTGATGGCCCCAAAGTAGGAGGAAATTGCTCTTCCAGAATGATTCTGTGGTGTCAAAGAATGTCCTTACAGTGTTGTTTTTTTTTTTTTTTTTTGTATAGGATTGACACTAAGATTTTTTCTGTAGCATCGCAGTTTAAAGAGTTAAGCAGAATCCTTCTGTTAGATTTTTGTAGTAGAGGTCATAGGAACACATTTACCTGAAGCTTTGAGGAACCTGATGGCAAAAATAGGTTTTAACTTGAAAGCTTGCATCTTTCAGCTCTGGGCTATCTTCAGTGCACCACAACTCTTAGATTCATTAAGCAGTTTAAATGCCATCAGTGGGCAGCAAGAAATATCACGAGATGTCATTTGATGAATGGCTTAAATGTCATGTCCTCGTCCTCAGTTCATCTGTTATTCCCTTAACTCAGCCTTTGGTAGTCCAGTGTTGCTATTTTAGTTTTGTTATAAGTCTGTGATGCTTAAGCTATTAAAAATACCTCTGTGAAGACCAACATAGATGGTATCTTTGCAAGAATGGATGACTAGTGTCCCAGAATTAAAAACAGATTAGAAAGACTCTAGATTGTGCAATTTCAAACTCTCCTGGCTGATATTTATTTAATTTTAAGTAGAATCTGATCACACAGCCTAGGTAAAATCTTTGTGGGGAAACTGGCATAGTTTGACCAACAGAGCTGCATCTTGATGACTTCCCTCACTGGATGACTAAATTGTTGGTGATCTTGCTTTCTGCAGACATCCCATTCATGCCTGGTGTTTCAGTCAGTCTTGTGGCCAGAATATTCCTTTTGGAACTTGTGTGAGGCCATCCTTCGGTTCCAGATGAACTACAGTGCTTTACAGGTAAGGGAGCCTTAGAGAGATGGAATGCTCTGCGCAGCATGTTATCTGCATAGCAGTGTGCTGGAGATCAGGTGAGAGTGTGCAAAGTGGAAACAGGAATTGTTCATTTAGTGCTGTTATTTAAGATCCTGCTTCAGTAGCAGCTAACGCTTCTCCTGTACCCATGTGGCTTGTTACAACATCTTAGCGTGTGGACATACTCCTCTGCTTTCGGGAATATCTAAAGTATCTGAAATCACCACTGTCTCTATTACTCACTGCTCGTTCCACCAGCTGCAAGTATCTGTCCCCACTCCTCAGCTGACAGGCCAGAATAAGTAAGCACTCCGGATTTGCTACCGGGTAAAATCAGCCAGTTTAACTCAGATGGCTTCATCAGTGGTTTAAGCAAAGACTGCTGAGTTCACTCTGGAATGAACAAGGACAATTTGCATGCTCTTCCTCTAACTCTGCTACTGTTTTTAGGGTTATAACAAGTGGGTTTAGAATTTCCTTTCTGGGAGCTGAAGTGAGGCTGCCTGAGCTATGAGACTGGACAAGTGTCTTCTTTCTGGTGGGTCCAGATGTGCCTACTGAAGAGATCGTTCCTATTGCTTGTTGTCATTGTTCCTCCTCTCTTAGATTGGCTATGAGCTCTCCCTGACCTGGTTTAGATAAATCTGGCCAATTTAGTAGTGACTTGATAATCTGGCTATTTTTGAGCAATACAAGTCTGGAAGCTGGAGCTGTTGATGGGGAAATTTGAGGGGCAGCAGCTTGTAGCACAGACACAGCAGTAACTGGCAGGAGGAGAAACTTACTGTGGTGACTCTTACCTCCACCGTGTCTGGTTGCTGAGTGCATCTGTTCTTTAATTATTTGGGTCCTCTGTTTTTAAAGACAGGCAATATATTGCCCTTTTCTACCTTCAGAGACCTTGCTCTCCTCAGAGTTGTTGAAAGGATTCTAGACAGTTGTGGGTATGAGTGAATTTAATCAGGTCCAGTCAATCTGGAAGCATCCAAATTTTCCACATCCTTAACCTCTTTTATTCCTATTTCTGCCCCAAGTCTGCCCTTTTCCTACCAGTATTAATACAACTAATGCAACTAATGGCAATTCACCACCTTCATGAAGAGGAAAGCAAAAAGGGCAGTAGTGTTTGTCATGGACATTACCTTTGCCTCTGTCTTGAACAGTATTGAACAGTAAGGTCACTGTTCTGACTTTGCTCCTAGTGCTAATTTCTGATGGGTAACAAATGCTGCTTCTGTTCCTAGCTAGTCTCACCTTTTCGTAGTTCTTGTTTGTGGCTCTGTGTTCATGCTATGCTATTATCAAGGTGTCTTACCATCAGAGTTGTTCTTTGGTCAGTTTTCTTGCTGAGAGACCCATTTTGCAGTATAGAAGGCTGCCCACTTTTCAAGGGATGCAGCCCAGTTGTGTGGAAGGGAGTACTTCTCGCTCAAAGGAACTGCTGAGATTTAGTAATTTAGGAGCTGGGGTTTTTTTGCATTTCAAATAGGTGATCTTGAAAGCCAGAAGGATCTGGAGCTCTTGAAATAAATTACCTTGGTGGAGGGGTTGCTTGTCAGTGAGGATGATGGGGCTAGGAGGTTGCCTTGCTGAGAAGCCAGAATCTGTTACAGCATCTGTGTCCCCTTTGGGAGAGTGCTGCTGTGTTCAGGACACTGGAGGCAGTTACTCTGGGGATAGGCAGCCGCATGGAAGTGTTGATAAGAAAATTTATTTGGAGTTATTTGACAAAAGCTATCCTCCTTCCATCAACTCAAACAGCATCACATTTTGTGGCTACCTCTTTCACTTTCCCATTAGGCTGCTGCTCAAAGGAGTCTACTAGCTGATTGTTGCCCACCACTTAGTCCCAGGACCAGCTTTAACCTGCCTTTGGTACATGGTAGACCTAGGGAGAGAATGCAGATGTTGGTTGGCAAGCCTGCCCTATGGAAGTGGGCGTGCTGAGTCTTTTCTGGTGAATAGACAGAATTTCACTTTGTTCAAGGGTAGAAGTCTTATGCTGAGAAGGCTGATGATCTTTGCATTTCAAATAAGCAGAGCTACAGCAGTGGAGTGCTATCAATTTGGTGGGCTTTCTGTAGCTACGGATATTTCTACTCTCATTCCCAGCACAACAAAACCTGATTTACAGTGCTAGAGCATAAACTACTGACTTGAGCAGAGGGAGAGTGTGGTGAAGAGTGAGACAGGCTCTCATTAATTATTTCCTGCTCATTTGAAAAGCCAGCACTCCCCAAGTGTGAGCATGTGTGTCAGGTTATGTCACGGTGATCAGTTTTACTCTTAAAAATGAAAGCTTAATATTCTTGCAGGCACATGTGTTTTTGCTGTTGGAGGCTGCAGGCTAGGTGGGATTTGTGCAATAAGAAATCCAAAAGTGATGTTCTGCAAAAAATATTTCAAATACTTGAAGGGTAGGCAAGGATAGCTACCTTTGTCCTGCCCAGCCTGCTGTGTCTCGAGCTGGTACATTATTAGATCACAGGCATTTGGGAATGCTGAGCCCACTCATGCTTTTATGCTGCGGCTGATTAGCTCAATACCTGATCATCAGCTCAAAGAATTGCCCCATAAATCATTGTTCTGAATCCCCTAAAACCTTTCAGCTGCCGTGTGAATAGGATCAAAGATTCTGTGATGACACTGGCAAGGATAGCTCGTGTGCATGTCTGCGGTTTAAAACTCCTCTCTGCTGTTCCTCTCTTATTCCAGTATCTGAGGGCTTTTCCACAATCTGTCATGACCTTTACCTATTTTAACTAGGAGCTAATGCTGTGAGCAGGCTTGTGTCTTGGGGAGAAAGTCCAGAAGGATAGCCTTGTATTTTTTTATAACCAATCAAGCAGTCTGACACAAAGCGGAGGAGGTGCACACAGAGCCACCCTTCATTTAACCTGCAGATTGATGGCCAAACAGAAGCTATTCCTTCCGTAACTTGTGCTGCCTTGCATCTGTAGCACAGATGAGCTGAAAGGTCTGGTAAAGTGCTAACTCTCTACTGCTTTTCACTCTAGAAGGCCAGAGACTCCTACATGGAGGAAAGGAGGCGACAACAGATGGAAAGGGATCAGGCTTATGTGACAAAGAAGCTGCAGCAGGAGGGGTTTGCGTCCCACGGAGACTCTCGGCGCCGACGGACACTGTTGCAGAAATGCACTGCCATGCGGGAAGAGAGAATCCAGGGCTTCCTACAGGCACTAGAGCACAAGAGAGCGGATTTCTTTGAAAGATTGTGTACGGTGTCAGCATGACAGAGGTGCTGGGTTGTTCTTGGGAAGACAATTTTGAACCGAATTATAGAGAACAGCTGCTGCCCAGAGGAATTCACTCGGTGTGGCTCTGCAGTGGGGATGTGGGGCTGCTGTAGGACTTGACGTCCCTGCCGGCCCTGGCTGAGGGCAGGGACAGAGTACTGTGAACCTTTCTAGTTCTGTGAATGCTGCTGAGGAAGGTAATGCCGTCCTTCTGTCTCACCTCCCTGCCCCTGATGATGGAGAATACACACACCCTGCCATACCTCTGCTGCTTTGTACTTTACAGGCCTGGGTGTTTTGGTGACAAGACATTAGCTAAAATGAGCCTCCAGTTATGTTTGACAATCCAATTCAGCCCTGTTAAATCAGTCTGGAATTGAATTCTTTCCATGGCTTTTCAGTAGTGAATCTTCTGTTGAGATTTCCTCTGCTGTCCCATAAGGGGAGCCTTGCTTTCTGTAGGGAGGGAGTTGTTCCTGGTGTGGAAGGGAGCCCTGTGCCAAGTGGTGGCAGAGATAGTCCTCACTACCTCCTTCATGATAACATCTTGTCTTTTCCCCACATTACTCTGCTGGTTTTAATCTATCTGCTCTTTGTTTCCAAAGAGCTAAAGCCAGGTGTTGTCAGCCTTGCCGTGAAGAAAAAAAAGATACTCCAAAGCTTCACCAGGTCCTGTGATCCATTCTGAGCAGTGTATGTGAGGAAAACCCAAATGCTGAAGGTGCTGATGTTGGAACAGGCTGACTGTGCTTAGGAAGGAGGCTCCAAGTAGGCAAGGAAACAGGATTGGTTGGGAATTAACTTCATGGCTTCAAAAGGAAGTTAGCTAAAACCAGGAGATGGATACAGTATGCCAAATCCCTCTGAGACCTCTCTAGAGGTATGACTTAACGTCCTGTTTCCAGGCATTGAGGGTGGGCTTAGTTCAGGAATACAGTAGCCAAACCCAGCCTCTGCCTCCAGCCAAAATGAAGGGCTATTTAGCTGATTTTGATGGGAGTGGCCAGAGCAGCTGTGGAGTGCTGTTTGTTCTCAGTTTTCCATCAGCAGGGAGATGGACTAGCTAATTTCCAAGATTGTTTCCGTCCCCATGGTCAGAATAACAAAAAATGTCTTGATTTTTGTTTCTGATTGACATACAGGTGCAGCAGTACCAGCTATTGCTGTTTTTAAAGTGTTCCTTTTTACCTCCAGGTGAAAATTAGAAAATGCAAATTTAAAAGACTTGTAAGTGCTGCAAACTCAGCACTTGGAATGTGATTGTGAAGAGGATAACTATATTGTCAAATTGTGAATAAAGCATATTCATACCAAACTTATTTAAAAAATAAGCTGAACATTTAGAAGTACGTAGAGCTGCTTATTCTGAGGTGTAATGAAGTTGACATCCAGGTCTAATATGATATTGTTTAACCTGTGACAGACTCCTCATCCGATTCCTGTTAGACTGGAAACAATTTGAAGGCTGTGTTCTTTTTACAGTCTAGTGTGAGCAATTTGCTGCTACCCCAGGGCTTGGCCGAACGAAGCTCTGTGCACGTACCTCCTCTTGTGTAAGTAGCAAACAGTAGCTGGGATAAAAGTGTGCCGAGATGATGGGAGATGTTGATTTTAAACTTCTTTTGCTGTATTTTATTTTCTCTGTCTTCACATTTCAGGAAACTGTCTGTGGAAATAGTTTGCACTTCATGAAATGGAGCATTCTCCAGTCGGCTTTGCCAGGCTGAGGGGGAGACTGTCTTCTACCCAAGAATGTATTTTTGCCTTAAAGAAACAATTTTTCAGTTGTATTATGATGATATAGGTGACCAGAGCTACAGTGGTGGTTTTCCACAAAGGACTATTGCAGGTGTGGTAATTGAAGGATCTGGTTTACAAAAGGCTTGTAGGGCAAGTTTTAATCCCTTTTATAAAAGCCATTGCTGTAGTAGGAGAGGAGAAAAAGTCAGTCCTTCAAGGCGTGGAAAAAAGGCTTGTTACCAGACAGTTTGTTTATTCTACCTGCATCAGTTATTCCAGTAAAATACCAGATTTCCCTGTAAGCTTTGCTTCATTAGTGGGTAGGCATAAGTTATACAGATGAACTCTGAATTTTAGGAATGCATCTTTCCAGTGAATCTTTGTGACAGTTGTGGAAATAGAGCTACAGGCTTCTCCTAGTGAGAATTTAGCTCCCCTCGTTCATGTTTAGATGGGAAGATGTGAAAAATCAGCATGACTGGAAAAATGTGCTGCTCTTGTGACTGAGGTCTGAAAAAGCCCGAGGGATTACCTGGAGCAGGAAGGGGGGAAAGTGTGGTCCTTTGGGGTGTTTTTTCTGGATGAGGTTCAATTAGAAGGTTAAAAGTTCAGGGCACAATGAAGTGTAGATCTTGTTAATTGGATTTGTGGCCAAGGGGCTGTGCCTGTACTCAGGTGTGAGAAATGGCCCCTTTTAAAAGAGCCCAACTTTACATGTCCCTTAGCGCAAGTACCGGCACCTGTGTGAATTTTTCTTGTGGCATTTTGTTGCGTATTTATTTATTTATTTTAATTTTTATTTTAACACTATCTCACCCTCTGCATTATTTTGGGTATAACTCCCCATCTCCCTTTTTTTTGTTTGTTTGTTTGTTTTTGTGTTGGTTTTTTTTGAACAGAGAAAAAAAAAAAAAAAAAATTAAGGTTGATTTCCCCGCCCAGCCCCGGAGGGGGTTTGGGGGAGGCGCGGTGCTCGCCGTTGGCGGGCCCCGCGGCCGCGGAGGTGCGCCTGGTGCTGAACGAACAGCTCCGCTCACCTGCGCGCTGCACCGCGCAGCGCCGCGGGGGCGGGTTTCCACCTCCGCAGGGGGGGTACCCCGCCCCCCCCCCCCCCCCCCCCCCTTTCCCCACGGTGTGGGGAGCGGCCGCGCTCCCCCCGCTCCCAGCCAGGGCCCGCCGCTTTTTGTATTGCTGCGCTTTTTTTTTTTTTTTTTCCCCTTTTTTCCCCCCATTTTTTTCCCTACCCCCCCTCCCTTTTCCCCTCAGCGTTTCCCGTCCGCGGAGCGCTGAGGGCAGGCGCGCGGCGGGGGCGGGGGGGGGGAAGAGAGGGAAAAGGGGGGGGGCGCGAGGCCCAGTTGCGCGCGCGCCACCTCCTCAGCGCGCCCCCCCCCCCCCCCCCTTCCCTATCCCCTCCCTCCCCGCCTGGCCCCACCCCACGTGACCCCGGCGGGCCAATGGGCAGGCGGGGCGGTGGGGATCCGGCTGGAACCGGTTGGGCCGCGTCCGGCTCTATATAAAACTTTATAAACACCCGATTCAAATTAGTGGGGGTCGGGAGCCAGCGGTAGCCAGCCGGGAGGCAGCCCCGCCGCGCCGCCCGCTGCCCAGACACCCGCTCCGTTCCCGTCTTCCTTCCCCTTCCCCCCCCCTCCCCCTCATTTCTTCCCCCCCCCCCCCCCCCTTCCCCCTTTTCTCGCCGCCGCCCCGGACCGAGCGCGCTCGGCTTCCCCCCCCCCCCCCCCAATTCCTCCGCCTTCTCCCTCCGCCCCCTCACGCCGCCCAGCCTTGCTCCTCTCTCCCTCACACATACACACGCACACCCAACACGCCCGCACGGAGCCATGCCGAAGAGAAAGGTACGTGGCGCCGCCGGGCCGGGGGGAGCGGGCCGCCCCACCGCGCCCTTCCCCGCCTTAGGGGCCTGCGTTCTCGCCGACCCCCCCCCCCCCCCCGTTCCCGTTGCCGCCCGTTCCTGTAGAAGCGGGGGCGGGACTACGCGCTCATTACCCCCCCCCCCCCACTTCGGGGCGGTAACGGTTGCGAGGCGGCGCGCGAGGCCCCAACGGGGACGGGGGGGTGGGGGCGGGGCGGTGCGGAGACCGTTACCGGCCGTGCGTGGGGGGGCTAACGGCGGCGGGGCGTGGGGGGGGGGGGGGGGAAGGGGCGCGGCGAGCGGCGCCGGTCCGATCCGGTTGGTTTTGGCGGGAGGTTCAGGGGAAAGGGGGGAGGGGGGAGGGGAGCGCCGGTGGGGCGGGAAAGGGCGGGAAGCGGCCGCGCGGCTTTGCCGCCAAAACCGCCGCCCCACGGGGGCAGCCGTGGGCGGGAGCGGGGCCTCCCTGAAGGGGCAGCGCCGCTCCCCCGCCTCCCCCCCCCTCCCCAGCCCCCGGGGGAGGTGTCTGCTCCCGCCCCGCTGTGAGGGGAGGTCGGTGCGGGGCTTCCGCCTCCGCCCGGCCCGGGGATCCCCCTCGCCGGCCCCTCCCCGAATGTCGGCGGCCTGCGGAGCGCCCAGGGGCAGGTGAGGGGAACCCCGCCGGCCCGAGGCGCGGTGAGGGCCCGGCACCCTCCGGGAGCAGGTTGGGAACGTTCCCTTTGCAGATGGGGGGCGGGGGGGGGGATAAAACTAACGGCTGGTGCGGGTATGGGGGCTGAGCGCGCTGAACTTGTCGGTACGACTTAACGGTTCTCGTCCTAGGCTGAAGGAGATACCAAGGGCGATAAGGCCAAAGTTAAGGATGAGGTAAGAAGTTCAACATTTTGAGAAAGTTGGATCATAAAGTGTTTACGTTGGAAGATGAGGTTTAACTTGAGCAAAATAAAGAACTGGGGAGCAAAGGGAGGGTTGGTCTTAATTCAGTCTGACTTTCCCAAGTACTAACTGTCTTTTAACCATGAAAAATCTACATAACTATTGTTAGCTACTAACAGTGATTTAAATGAGATAGTCTCATGTTTCCTGAGAATGTGGAAAAAGGAACTAATAACATAAACATTAGTTCTGGGATTTTACTACTTTAAAATGAGAGTTACTTTATGAGTTTTTGAGAATTCATATTCCACCACATTAAATCCAGTCATTTTTCTTTTTAAACAGCCACAACGGAGATCGGCAAGGTTATCTGCTGTGAGTATTCTCTTGCTGAGCAGAGATGTCACAACACTTGGTAGTTTTAAGCTTGAGTATTAGGTACTGCATCTGTGTGAGAACTGTAGGTATTCTGGAGAGACGCATTGTTCAGTTGAAAGAAAGTTACTGGCTTAACAAACTGCCCCATTGTGTGGAGCTATGGGAGTGGTAAAATAATTGACAAATCAAGTGCTTCAATTTCAAATGGTCTTGATTTGCTTTCCTGAAACTAAACTACATAGGTTGAATGTTCTAAGAAAGTAGTATGTTTCTCTTAAAATAGTTCGAATAACACAGTGTGGTTTTTTTCATTTACAGAAGCCTGCCCCTCCGAAGCCAGAGCCTAAACCTAAAAAGGCAGCTCCAAAGGTGAGTTGTTGTGTCAGCGCTATTACTGAGAGGTAAATGGGTTATGAGGTTTAGATTTGTCTAGTAATAACTAATAGAACTTTGAATAGCAGCGAACGTAGTGACAAAATTGAGCTGTATTGTCACTTCTATAAAGTTGTGCTGAAAACTTGTTGAAGTTTACTAAATTTGCATTAAAAATACCAAAGTGAAGAATCCTTGCTGTTGTTGTGAATCTCTTAAACACACAAATGTTTGAGTGTTGCGCATTTCGGGACAACATCCAATGTTGGTTTTTACCATTCTAGTTTTTGGATTCCTGTGGCTTAATGACTGGATGTTGGTAATTGTAATGGTGTACGTCATCTTCCATTTACAGAAGACCGAGAAGTTGCCCAAGGGAAAGAAGGGGAAAGCTGATGCTGGCAAGGAGGGAAACAACCCTGCAGAAAATGGAGATGCCAAAACAGACCAGGTATAACAGCGGGTCTGGCAGCTTGTCTTACATCAGCCAATTACTTTTTTCCATATCAAACATAGACAGGTCTAAGCTTGTGCTAATGAAGGATTATTGCTTGATTATTTAGACCTGTTGCTTATGACACCACATCTGTAGATGGGGGGGTGGTGTTGCTTGGTTGGTAAAGAGTTAAAGGTGTCTGTTTGCCAGGTGAAAGTTCTGCCTTGTTCTGAAAATGCATAATTTTTTCATATGATAAAGCAACTTCAGGTTGCCTCTTACGGAACTTGATGTTAGATTTCATTTTGTGCAGCCCAGATAATACTACTTCTGCTCAGAGAACTGCTGTTAAGAAAAACGAGTTGGCAGTTTTTTGGTGCAAGTGTGTGGTGTATATTGACTGGTTCCCCTTTTTCTTTTAGGCACAGAAAGCCGAAGGTGCTGGTGAAGCCAAGTGAAATGTGTGAATTTTTGATAACTGTGTACTTCTGGTGACTGTACAGTTTGAAATACTATTTTTTATCAAGTTTTATAACAATGCAGAATTTTGGTTTACTTTTTTTTAAGCTATGTTGTTAGCACACAGACCGCTTCGTTGTTGTGTTTTAACGGGGGGGGGGGGGGGGGGGGGCAGTAGGGACAAATGTCACTTAATCTATTTCTCGGAACCTAAATTTTAATAAGAAAAGTTTTCCCAGTCCCCCAGTTTTTGGAAGAAGGTCTCTTCCTGAATAGAGGAGGAAGGGATTCCTTCATGCTGCATGTTTGTCAAGTTCTGTGAAGTGCATCCAAGTGAACGTGGAAGCTCCCAAGATGCCTGTTGCCGACTTCAAAACCACAGTTTGTAATGCCCTCTGTATTTCCTTTTGCGTCCTTGTTGTCTGCCTCGAGCCTATCACTCCAAAATACGGCAAAAAAAGGCATTTTAGGACTTCTCGCTCTAAATGCATTGTCAGGTGATCCGGACTTCTGGTGTCTGATTTGGGATATAATGGCTCTGAAAGGAGCTGCACTTCGTCTTTTATATTGTGGATCTTCAGATTAAGAAACCTGCATTTTAATTTTTTTCCTCTAAAAGTCAGGGTAGGTTTGTGAAGAGTTGTTAAACAACATGCTAAATGTGAAAGTGTCCACCCTCACTCTAAACTTTTCCCTCTACAAGTACGAAATGAAGATTCTTCAGTTTTATAGCAACTTTTACGTTTTGGTAGTCCATGAAGGGAGGGGAGTTTGACAGTTGTTGTAAAATGTTGCAGATTGTAGCCCATGTCCTGCCTAAATTACCATGATTGTTTATGAAAAGTACCTTTAATAAAGCTGGATACGGTTTGGCTTGGACTGTTCTTAATGCTTTTCTAATTCCTCTTGCCTTTATTTCATCTCTGGTGTGGTTAATGTCAGAAGAATACTTGCTGTGTACATGTATGCATTTGTATTTAGGCGATGTTTTGCTAAATAGTCAACAAACTTGTTTTAAGCATCTGAATTCAAATAATTCAGTCTTAATTGACAAGTGAACAACGAGATTTCCTTACTTTAAAAGCTGGGTTGCTGCAGGATGTTTTGAAACTCTTGGCTTACTAAGAAGCCCGACATGGAGCACATAAGTGACTACTGAGATAAATTACCTTCGTTATTGTCTAAAAAGTAGTACTATACAAAAGGGTAAAGAATACAGCAATCTTGCAGTCACTGTGGAGAAAAATAAATTCTGGTAAGCTTTTCTTGGTAGCGAAACCAGAACTAGCTCCATAAAACTGATTATGTGTTAGATTTCTGCACTTGAGCCTGGACATCGTTGCTTCTGCTAATCAAATACAGACTTTGCTGTGGTAGTGACTAAGCAGGAAACAAGATTTGTTGAGTAAAAATGCACCATTTTTATAGTTACTACTTACACTGTAGAGCAGAGCCAAACCAAAAACTCTAATGTGCAAATGTCTCCTTCAGTAACTTTCTCAGATGGAATATTTTTTCCATCTCTGTTTGGCCTTTCCTGCGATTTCAGTGTCTGTTCTCGATTAAGTTCAGTGACCTGTTGCAACCTGTGCTGTTTTCAGAGGGAATCCAATGAAAATGAGCAGGGCAGAGTTTCACATCAAGAAATTTTCAGTGTCTAGAGTGCTAGAAGTGTATTCTAGAGGGTACAGAAAACAGCCAGTTTGAAATGTACCAATGTGAACTGCTTTTTCATCTTGCATTATTGTAGCTGGTGTGACCTGGATTTGCTCTAGCACATCGTAAGAAAAATAACGTTTAATAATCTTGCATGTACCCCACCCAGAAGCAGCAGCTTAGAAACAGCCAACAAAAATACTGACCACTTGCTTGAGCAACCAAGCAGTAGGATGCAGCTGCTGGAGGCTGCAGGAACAGAGAGAAGAGGCTGTTAACTTCCCTGGGACGTTCTCCAAGAGGTGCAGTTTGTGAGAAGCCCTGGGACAGCCCTGTGTGGAGTGGAGATGTCGGGAAAGCAGACAGTCAAGGATTTACAAGAAAAAAGCTCTTACGGTACCATGACATTGCTCCGGTTTGCTTTGCCTCTTTTGTGGAAGAGATTTGTTGTAGGGAGCGGTTTGAGCACTTCAGCAAGAGGCCAAATTCTGGATTTCCCGAAATCTGAATTTTCAGGTACCAGAGGGAGGTGATGCCTGAGGCTGT